TGAAGCATCAACTAATGTTTGTGCAAACAGCAATGTCTCGGTGCTTTTGCAAACTGCAAAGGCTATGGTGGGAAACCCTAATATCCCCCAACAGCAGAAATTGCAATCGAGAATTGTTTTCGATTCCTGCAGTCAGAGATCTTATATATCAAATCGGCTGAAGAATTCATTGGGTGTCCAACCTGTTAATAAGCAATCCCTTTTGGTTAAAACTTTTGGCAATGACTCCCCAAAATTGATGTTGTGTGATCTAGTCCAAGTCTCTATTACAGCCACTGATGGCTTGGAATTGTATGTCAATGCCTTTAGTGTCCCTGTAATATGTAGTCCGATTTCGAACCAAGCAGTAGAAGTAGCAGTGGAGAAATACCCGCATTTAAATAGATTAGACTTAGCAGATAACAGTAGTCCTTCTATTGAAGTCGACATTGACATTCTAATTGGAGCTGACTTCTATTGGAACTTTGTGTCTAATGAGTCAAAAAGAGGTGAAGGACGTGGACCTGTTGCCCTGTCAACTAGGCTAGGGTGGGTTTTGTCTGGCCCCATTGATAACCTTAGTGAAGAATCTAGTTCCACAACCAACTTCGCTGCAACTCATGTATTACGGATTGATGCTACCCCAGTTCAGGATAACCAAAACCCGAACATGACTGAGCAACTTAAAAAATTTTGGGAATTAGAGTCTATAGGCATTCGGGATGACGAAAGTTCAGTCTATGACAAGTTTGTTGAAGACGTTAGATTTAATGGGGAGAGGTATGAAGCAAAATTACCCTTTAAAGAGCACCATCCCACCCTCCCTGATAACCATGCTGTTAGTGTAAAAAGATTAGGAAGATTAGTTCATCGACTCCAAGATCAACCTGCTCTTCTTACTGAATATGATAAGATAATTCAAGACCAAGTCCGGAAGGGAATTGTAGAACCTGTTGACCCACAAGTTATCCCAAAGGCTGGAAATGTACACTACCTACCCCACAGAGAAGTTGTGAGAGCTGACAAAGACACTACGAAAGTTAGAGTGGTTTACGACGCGTCAGCTAAGACAACAGGACCTAGTTTAAATGAATGTTTGTATACTGGACCTTCTCTAACCCCACTGATTTTCGACATCTTGCTGCGTTTCCGTGTCCACTCGGTTGCCATGACAGCTGATATAGAGAAAGCCTTTTTGAACGTTGCAGTCGCGGAGGAACATCGTGACTTTCTTAGATTTTTATGGTTAAATGACCCCTACAGCAGCAGCCCAAGCGTTATACACCTCAGATTCGCCAGAGTTGTGTTTGGAGTTACGTCAAGTCCGTTCATTTTAAACGCTACCATTCGTCATCAAGTTAATCAATATCTGCTGAATGATCCAGAGTTTGTCTACGAGCTTTTGCGATCCCTCTACGTCGATGACTATGCATCTGGTTGCGAGAGTATACCTAGAGCGTTAGACCTAGCAAGAAAGATTAAATATCGACTTTCGACAGGAGGTTTCAACATGCGTAAATGGCAGACTAATTCACCAGAACTCAAGCAAGTGTTCCAAGTAGATCCCGATTTCGCTGAAGATATTCCTAGTCCTACTGCAGATCCTTTACCAACTATGAACGAAGAAGATTGTGGTTACACAAAATCAGCTCTTGGTGGCCAGAATGATGTGAACAGTAAAGTCCTTGGTCAAACGTGGAATGTCCTGAATGACGAGTTTGAAATTAATTTAGCCAATGTTGTAGCTGGTTATGATCCAAAGAGTTGTACAAAGCGAATTGTGTTGAGCATTACAGCAAAGTTTTATGACCCCCTGGGGCTGATATCACCTGTTATTCTTCAATTAAAGCTGTTGTTCCAAGAATTGTGCAAGAGTAACGTTGAGTGGGATGAACAATTGAGCGGACAGTTTTGTAAAGTATGGGAAACAATATTCTCCAAACTTGAGGAACGCCAAAGTGATTTCTATTCCACGCTGTTACTTTCAAGAAACACGAACAGGGTTAATCGAGTTGCATGCATTTTCCGATGCAAGCGAGTCGTCGTATGGTGCTTGCGTGTATATCTTATACGAGCATGAAGCAGGAGTTAAATGCAATTTAGTCGCCTCTAAAACAAGAGTAGCACCCATGAGTGAACAGTCGATACCACGTCTTGAATTGCTTGGATGTTTAATTAATCTCGGCACGATTAGTTGATAACATTCGTAAGGCATTACAAGACGTCTTAAAGATCCATGCTATTTTCTTCTGGTCCGATTCAACGGTTGCACTAAGCTGGATAAGGAGTGTGTGTAAAGAGTACAAACAGTTTGTAGAAAATAGAGTTCAGGAAATTCGAAGATTGACAGATCCAAAGGATTGGAGATATTGCCCAACAAAAGACAATCCAGCAGATATTGCCTCAAGGGGAGAATCAGTATCGAAGCTCGCGGCGGATGATAAGTGGTGGTATGGTCCTACCTTTTTACTAAATCCCAAGGATTCGTGGCCTGTACAGCCGTCGCACGGGGAAGAAAGCAAGAATACGTGGCAAGAGTTGAAGACATCCAAACAGACTGTGATGGCGGCGGTCGTTCATACTGATGTACAACCAGAGCACAGTATAGAGAACTTGCTAAAGCCTTCGAAGTATAGTAAGTTAGAAACTTTACTTCGTGTAACAGCCTATGTGCAGAGATTCGTTGACAATGTAAAACGAAGTTTGAAAGGTGAGGAAATTTTGAAGGGTCTTCTAACTGCTGAAGAACTAGAGGTGGCAGAGAAATCCTGGATTAAGCATGTGCAAGCTTCCTTAACAAAGCTGCCAAAATATAATAAAATGAAACGATCTTTAAGCTTATTTGTGGACGATGAGCAACTTATCCGTTGTCATGGTCGAATCGAAAAGTCAAATCTACCCAACGAAACGAAGTTTCCTAGTGTTATTACCCAGCGATCATGATTTTACTAATCTCGTAGTTCTGCATTGTCACACTGAAGTTATGCATAATGGCGTTCGAGAAACTGTAACTCAAGTTAGATCGACATATTGGATCGTAAGAGGGCGACAAGTAGTGAAGAAGATTATCGCTCGATGTTTAACATGTAAACGATTAGAGGGCAAATCTTACGGAGTGCCGCCAGCACCTCCCTTGCCAGAATACCGTTTAGATAACGACGTTGCCTTTTCAAGAGTAGGAGTTGACTATGCTGGCCCATTATTCGTGAAGAACATATATTCTAAGGACAGTAAAATGTATAAAGCGTACATTGTACTCTACACATGTGCGTCGAGTCGCGCAGTTCATTTAGATCTCGCCGTTGATGCAACTAGTGAAACATTTATACGTAGTTTCAAGAGGTTTATGAGTCGCAGAGGAATACCAGGAACAATGATTTCAGACAATGGCAAGACATTTAAGTCGAAAGAATTGAAAGAATTTTGTACAAAAAAAAAAATCAAGTGGGTACATATTGTTGCACGTTCCCCATGGTGGGGAGGCTTCTATGAACGTTTAGTTCGGTCAGTTAAAAGATGTTTAAAGAAAGTTCTACGAACTGCCCGATTGACTTACGAAGAATTGCTCACGTTGTTGATTCAAATAGAAGGCGTGTTGAATTCTCGTCCTCTCACTTACTTGTATGAAGACAACGATGAACCGTTAACCCCTTCGCACCTTGTACTAGGAAGGAGAGTACTTACTCCAGCGAAGAGCGTAAGTTCAGGTATATCAGACGAAGTTGACACCGCAGAAAGAGCAACACGACGCGAAAGACATTTAAAAACTGTTTTAACGCACTTCTGGAAAAGGTGGAAACAAGAATACTTAACTCAATTGCGTGAATATCATCGTCCTCGCGAAGCGAGGGGTCCAAGTGTTAACAAAGGTGATGTTGTTGTCATTGCAGAAGATAACGTGAAACGTTTAAACTGGAATATTGGACAGATCGAAAAGTTGTTAACGGGTCGCGATGGAAATACTCGAGCAGTCGTGGTGCGTACTATCGGTAAAGACGGAAAGGTGACTACGTTGGATCGGCCTATTCAAAAGTTGTATCCTTTAGAACTTAAATTGGAACAGGAGCATCCTGAAAACTTTCCAATTACGTTTGTTAGGCATGGACTTAAGGAAAACTGATTAGATTTAATTACTTATTTATATCGTTGAATGGTTCTCACCAGTCAAGGTGGGGAGTATGTTATAATTAATGACGTAATTATTACGTGGACACCACGCGTGTGTCACGCAATTCTGCGAACACATGGAATATTAATGGCTTGTGTGGAAGTTCTGAGTAGAGCGAGTTAAGAAGTGATATATAATTTTTAAAAGTTTATTTTTGATTTAAAAACGAGTTGAGTTCAATTATTCGAGTATAGTTCAATTTATTACAGAGATGTGATATCGAAGTCAAAAGGTAAAGTTGTTGATGAGAAAGAAACAGGCGTTTTTTACTCGATTCCATGCAAAGATTGTGATGTACGGTACATTGGCCAAACCGGGCGTGCTTTTCTGACGTGGAAAAAGGAGCATATTTCAAGTGTGATGAATTTCAAAACAAAAAAACAGCTTTGGCAGAGCACTCATGTAATTTGGATCATAAGATTGCCTGGGATAGAGCGTCAATTTTAGCAAGCAAGGGAGATTGCAAAAGCAAGGGAGATTGCAAAAACAGACGGCGCAATTGCCAATAGAGACAGAGGGCGAATAGCTGTTATCGTAATTGAACACGTCTATGTTACGCACCAGCGGTATCTGCATTATTTTAACATCGAGACGAGGTTATAGGGCCATGTTTTGTGTTTTTTGGCCCTTTAGCCTCGTTTTCGTGCGTACTTCCACTGAGATACCGCTGGTATGCCGCAACGCGTATTCAATTACGATAACAGCTATTCTCCCCGAGTCATATGTACCGCTTCTGTCAAAGTACAATGAACAGTGACTTTAGTTGTATTATATATTCAATGACAGTGACTTTAGTTGTATCATATTAACATCATTCAATTAAGCACGGTTGATTAGTTCCTAATCTCTTTTGTGCACAATAGCTACTTATCAATTAGCATAACTAGAATTTTAATTAGTACAATTTGACACGACTGTTTGCCACGTAGGCGGTTGGAACTCAGTATAAATATTGCTTGTAGATATGTTATTTACATTTTACCCTGTTGATGGACGTTTAGTCCGAAAGATCGGTTAATTTTAATCCTTTTTATTCTTTTTAATTCGATTTTATTAAAATATCACTGGTCAGTCGAAGCTTTTATAAACCCGTATAGGTATACATAATGTTTACGAATACTAATTCTGAAAGAGTTAAGCGAAACACAGGTTTTTAGATCTGCTGGTATAGACTGTTCCACAGACTTGCAGATCTGTCGTACAAAGAACGAGTTTCTAAAGTATTACTGTCTATGCTTTAAGAGGAAATAGAAATTATTTTCATTATATTAAATGGACAACTTGCATATTAAACTCATTTTTGATCTAGACAAAAAAAGTAAATTCCCGTAAAGAACTTATTCAAATTAGAAAAATTGCAAAATTTGGTTACGAAATGTTGTAAAATACGGAAAATATAACCTTTGGAAGTTTGCATATTTTGCCATACGTTTGCATTACGCGTCACACGAGAGCAACTTGTTGAGCTAACCGCCTCGCGTGGCTGCTATTTCAGCAAGTTCCTCTTGTGTGCGGATAGTTTTCATGAGAATTTGACCTCTCGAGGCCTTGAGGAAAATATCTACCGTGTTTGATATTTTTCACCTCGCGAGGAAAAAGTCTCCACGTCTGCGGATGTTGTGATTTTAGTGCTGAGCTGTTTGAATCAATTAGCCAATGAGAAACCATGTTGAGAGGTTTTTCCAACGTGTGCGGTGAAAATGCATAGCTGAGCTAGCCACCACGCGAGGCGGTTAGCTCAGCAAGTATCTTTCGTGTGCCTCAGGCTTTTAAGGCAATTTTCCATTGCAGTCGCTTTGACCGCGCTGGCGGAGCGAACATTACTCAACTTTCTCTATAGTTGTCTATCCTATGCATTTTTTGACCGTTTGAACGCTCACGGATACGCCATGAAAGTAGAACTACATTCAACTTTCTGGACGTGCCCGCGCGACTGATTTTTCACCAGATTAAAATTGGTCGCTCGAACCGCGCGGGCAAAGCGACCGCAATGGAAAATTGCTTTCAGGGAGCTCAAGAGATCTGTACAGTTTAGAATCGTCGACGAAGAGTGCGAGTGTTGAGTTTGTTGTATGTAATTTTGAACGTCGTTGCAGTATACCAGATACAGAAGTGGACCAAGTACTATATGCATGGAGCCTTGTGGTACGCCGGATGAAACCGGTAGGCAATCGGAACACACACCTGGGGAATGAGTGCTAACGCTCTATTGTTGAGATGTATGAATACACCACAAGCATAAGACCACGGTGAATATAATATCAAAATCAATTCAACAAATCGACAGCGCTCTGAAAAATGTGCTTTATAAATAGCCTGCGCATAGAAATACAATAATAACTGTTAATAATATTTATATATAGCGATGCCTGACTGTAAAATTTAGCTTTAAAAAAAGATGAATTAAGACACTACGATGTTTATTCCATATGCATGAGTAATATAATGATGATGAATATTATATTAGGACCAGTTCAACAGAGTACAAAGACATGGATTTTTAACGGATTGTGAATATAGACAAGTAAGACAAATAATTGTGTAAAGTAATAATTAAAATAACTCTAAAGAAACCAACATAATCATGGTTCTCATTAATCGGCGATGTTGTACAATCCATTGTCTTGTGAGCAGCGAAGAATAAAATGCACTAAACGTTTTATGCATCAAAGCATGACATGGGTCAACCTATATTTAATTTATGAATTTAGATTCGGCCATATGAATTCTTCACTATGGACATCTACCATCTCGGTTTAGTGCTATGGAGTGTATTTGAAAGTGTTCTCTGTACAGCTGCTATATTCGGTTGGGCTCAATTATTGGAAATACTTGAAGGTGAACAATATTTCTCGTCTTATTGCGGAGATGAGGCTAAATCAAACAAGACAATAATAACACAGTTAAATACAAGTAACTACATAAACGAGGCGGATAGCAATGATATAAACACATGTTCCGTGCAAGATAGTATTCTTCGCTTGGCCTATACAATCTCCGTTTTCGCTGCTTTCGCTTCAGTATTTCTCAGTGGAAAATATATGGATATGTTTGGCTTCAGAAAGACAAGGATATTGGCAAGGTAAGAATAATTTACAATTATTCGCCGAAGGCGAAGTACTGTGATTAGGGAGCTTAAGCATGTAGGACGGCAACACGACGACGACGGCAACCAATACAATGAGTCAATGAAAAGTGAATAAATAATTAAAGTCCCTGGGGAGTTTCAGACGTGGTCGTCGCTCTGTTTACAACGGCAAATCACAGATATTCACGTCTTTTACACAACGCTTGCATTTCAAGCCGTAACAAGTGCAACTTAAAATTCGGTCAATGGAACTCTTCCCAAACATAAAACCAATGTTTTCAGCTTCTTATACTGTATTAAATTCATACGAAGTATAATATACGACAAGTTTTCTTTACTATCATTTATTTGAAGGAATTTGTTTTGGCCGTCGTCCTCGTGTTGCCGTCTTGCATGCTTAAAGCCTGCCGCACACGAGAGCTATCTGCTGAGCAAAAAGTTACTCGTGCCTGTTAGCTCAGCCGATAGCTCACCGTGTGCGGGTACATTTTACTGAGTTTTTTGCCTCATGCAACCTTTTCTCACGTATCAAACATGTTTGATCGGTGAGCTATCAGCTGAGCTAACAGGCACGAGTAACTTTTTGCTCAGCAGATAGCTCTCGTGTGCGGCAGGCTTAAAGCCCGCCGCTCACGGGAGCAACTTGCTGAGCTAACCGCCTCGCGGTTAGCTCAGCAAGTAGCTCTCGTGTGCGGATAATTTTCGTGAGGATATGACCTCTCGACGTCTTGAGGAAAATATCTATCGTGTTTGATATTTTTCGCCTCGCGCCAAGGAAAAAATCTCAGCCTCTGCGGATGTTGTGAGATAACTGCTGAGCTGTTTGAATCACTTAGCCAATGACAAACCATGGTTTCTTCATGTGACTTGGAACAAATTGGAGGAAAATGCAAATGATTTTGTCAATTATGTTGTTGTTGAGTAGTTTTCTCAACGTGTGCGTTCAAAATACATAGCTGAGCTAGCTGCCTCGCGAAGCGGTTAGCTCAGCAGGTTGCTCTTGTGTGCGGCGGGCTTAAGCTCCCTATTACCGGTAATATTCAGCGGGACGAAGTCGAGGTGAATATTCACCGTAATCACTGAGCCTGAGGCGAATAATTGTTTTAGTATAAATTTTTAATGAATAAAACAAAATATCCAAATATCAGTTCCATTTAATTTCAGAAATAAAACTGTTTTCGGCCTGTTCACTAACACTGAGTAACATAACAATGTTGCAGTGTTTCTTGTACGCACACGATTGCAAAATGGCTTCTTGTGTGACTTTATTGCTTTATTACAAAGTTGTTTTTCTCAATTTCTGCTTGGAATATAAATACAATAACGGAATGACTCTTGCACCACATTTACAATTAAAAATAGTTTCTGTTTAGCATTAATTTCTTTAGAAAATGGCTGAGGAATTTGGTAAAATGAAGTGTAAAACTACATCGTTCGACATATTAAAAGTTTTAACAGCACTTTTTACTTTACAAGTTTCGAAAACACAGCACAGCGGTCAGAACACCATACAGAACAATGAAAACATGACATATCAAAAGAAATAATATTGTACAAATTGGGAAATCTATATCTATATGGCATACAAAATAAAATGGATTTTAAAGTATATCACTGCCATGTTTTTCCCAAAAGTCGGGATGGTTTTTGCTATTTGTTTGAAGTGAATGTTTCGGAGTTTTAATAAATAAGTTTAAAAATTGACTGTGAATATGTTTAACACAGTAATGTAATAAAGGAATCTTACCTTTCAAGTTAAATACAACATTTTGTGCTTCTTTCGTTTTCTGGGGACGATTTTTTCAATATTTTATCGATTTTGAAACCAAATTTGCCGAATCATTCTTTTTGAAAAGCATTATTCACTACCCAGGTGCCAGGGTGATAAATAATGCGTTAGATTTACTAGTCAGCTAACCAATCAGAACGCGCGAAAGCTCATTTGATATGCAAAATTTATACTAAACTAGAAATACATGCATGCAACAACCCCTCGCCTATATTCTCCAAATATTGTTTCAACATGAAGTATTCGTAATTACGCCAACACTGAACGCAGGCTCCCAGAAACGCAGGCTCGCAAATACAGAACTATCAATTTCTAAAATAAATAAAGTAGGTATATTATTTTGGTTCTTGTAGACTTCATTTTAATGTAAAATTCAAAACGAAACTCTACGTAAAACGTTTTTAAATGTGAATTGAAATTAGCTGCTTTGTGCCGATATTTATAAAAACTCTTCGACTCGAGCTTCAACTAGCCTCCTCCGCAGGCCTCTCCATGGGTTTTAGCCTGCGAATGGGTTTTGAAAAAAAATTTTCTGCGAGAGAGGCCTGCCATAAATCGAACAAAATAGACGTATCTCAAATATTAGTGGCCGTGTCACGTTACCCCACCCCCTAAGTAGGCTTTTGACCCTAATTATATATTCAGTTTGAAATCTTCGGGCGAGGAGCGAAACTTGCACGTATAAAAAACTTTAAAAATGTTTTACAATGCGTCGAAATATTCAAGTTATACGAAAATTAATTGGTCAATTGAAAGCATTTAATTCCTGAATTATATATCGCAATGTCGCTCGCGGTATGAAAACGACGTGCAAATTTTGAATCGCTCGCTCAAAGCAGCCAGATGTTTACAATTATTAAATGTATAAATTGTTCAGCCGAGGAATAATTACAATTTCTGAATTTGAGGAAATTATCTGGCATAATTTCGAACGCAAAACGAAGAATGGAACGATAAGAAAGGTATAATTTGTTTAATAAAGGGATTATATTAAATTGTATTGTTTTCTGGAATAATATTTGTGTTGCCATTTTGATTTATATTTTACTATACTTTTTCAATAGTCAAATCAACAGGCATTTGGCAACATGCTCAGTGAAATAATGTATAAAAGGAAAAGATCTTTCTGTTGAAGCAACCATTTCAATAAGTCACTGCAACTTGGAAATATAAACTAACTGTAGAATTTTGTTGGCATCTTATAAAGCCTGCATAACATATGCCTACCATATGTTTGTGATGTTACTCTGAGTGCATATCCACACCGGGCGAGAAATATGCCCGGCCGGGCATATTTTTCAAGCTCGCCCGGTGTGGATATGCACTTAGAGTAACATCGCAAACATATTATTCACCTGAGTACACAACACCAACACAGAAAAATTCATATGCCTACCATATTAATATTATTATTTAATATGCCTGAGATTGATGCATACATTCTTTTGTGAATTATTTGGTTGAACTGGTAACCTGCCAACATACCACAGTATTTGTGAACTAGGCTTCACTCAGGTGAATAGTTAAATTGAACTCCCCTCACCCCTTTAATGGCTTTAATATCATGTAAATATGCTAAACCTGGTGAAACAGGGTTGGTAGGTTTGCTGAATAATTAGCTCAAACACAGTCACAGTAGGCCTTTTGTTTTCTTTGTTTTGTAAACGGCACTAATGACGATTTGGCCTAATTATTCACCTAGCCTACCAACCCTGTGGTGAAAAGCAGTTGGCATGTGACAACCTCTTTCTAATATAGTACTGTATATGCCTACTTGTGTTACACTTACTGACATCCATGATTTGATAAATACTGGAATTTGTGTGTCTGCATATAGTGCCGTAGCAAGCTCGATAATTGGGGGGGGGGGGCTATATTCATATACTTGTGTTCTGCATTATTAATTTCTTTTGAAATTGATTGTTTTTTATGGTCTGTGAACACGAATATATGAATATGAACCCCCCCCCATTATCGAGCTTGCTATGGCACTGGCATATTCTCTAATTATATGTATCTTTCTTGTTCATGCTCAAATAAAATTGCTCTTGACATATATTGCTTTAAAATATAGTAACTCTTGATTGGTATGTATATCACGTAAGATCCAATAATGCCCTCTTTGTCTCATCCCTGGCAGGGGCGTGCCTGCTTTTTCTGTCTAACATCAGAAAATTGTACTCTTCAGTGGGAGAGTGCAGACAATGAGTTAATCTAAAGCTTACCAAATTATTCATTGTCGTAAACTTGTCACAGCTTTCAGTTAATATATAGCCACCATTGGAAGGCTATTACCAGGGTGGTTGCTGTGTAATATAACAATAGCAAAACACTAGCTATCACTGGGACATTTCCTCAGTGACTGATTGTTACAGGGAAATTTGCCTTGCAAAATGGATTTTATCCATGCGAATATTTTGCCTGTGAACTTGGCAAGCAAAATGGAATGTAATGTCTCCATTGGTTATAAGCCAAATGTTATGGTCCAAGCCAAATGTTATTAAGACAGGTCTTGATATTCTGTTGCACCACATAAACCATCACTTGGATAATCTATTCGATTCCTATTAAATTCCAGTTGTCCTTTCCCTTATGTCTAGGCACCTCACACCCATATATTAAAAGTTAAGACAGGGCTATTGATTTAATTAAGAAAGCGTTTGCTATTTAATAAATTTTTGCCACATCTGAGACACTCAAGTTTGAAAACTTTGTCTTTGTCCAAGGCCAAGGGATAAATTGAACAGTGTATTCCGCAATAAGAAAACTTTTATTAACGATTTTCCTTCCATACAAGCGTATTAAAACAATGTTACAAGACAAGAAGTATAAATATTTACCACAAGATTTACAAGATTTACAAGATTTATTTGCTCCTTTCAAATTGCAATTTATATACACAAAGAAATTATTTAAATTATAGTTAACATTATTATTATTAGTAAAATATATTTGTGATCTGTGACTAATTGTTTTGTAATTTTTGAGAAGATTTGAAAGAGAGTTGGCTCCCTGAAATAACCACAGGGCTATATAAATATCAGGAAACCAAATAAAGGACGAAAAAATTACGAAAATTGACAATATATAGTTCTATATCAAATATATTTAAAAGATCGAGAAAGGAGTCCTGCATGACTCCCGATAACGTATAGAAAAAGTTGGAGTTGGACACTGATCAATACTTTCCAAGAAAATCGATTCT